CATGGCTGCAGCGAAGAGGGTATTGCGCTACCTGTGCAGTACGTCGGGCATGGGGCTAGTGCTTGGAGGGCGGAGTCCAGTGGTCCTTACTGGCCACGCAGACGCTTCTTGGGCTGACGACCAGGCTACGCAGCGGTCGTCACAGGGTTACACCTTCAGCCTTGGTTCCGGCTCTGTCTCGTGGCGGTCTACTCGCTCGTCTTCGGTTCTCGGCTCCAGTTGTGAGGCTGAGATCTACGCCGGGGCCATGGCTGCACAGGAGCTTCGCTGGCTCACCTACCTGCTGACTGACCTTGGAGAGCCGCCTCGTTCTCCTCGAGTGCTGTACGTAGACAACAAGGCCATGCTGGCCTTGTGTCGAGAGCAGCGTTTGGAGCACAGAACGAAGCACATTGCTCTCCGCTACTTCCTTGCTCGTGAGCTGCAGCAGCGTGGTCAGTTGTGACTTGCGTACGTGGCCTCTGAGGCCAACACTGCTGATGTGTTCACCAAGGCACTCGCGCCTTGTGACCATCAGCGCTTTTGCACCCAGCTGGGTCTTGTGCCTGTCTTGCCTCACTTGCTCTCCTCTTGACTTCACTTGTACTGTGACATATATATATACCTGCTCTTGCTTGTCTAGTTTTATATATATGTCTGTACTCCTGCATGTGAACTGGCCTCTGGCCCTGCTCTTGTGCTCGGACTGTGTGGTGACTTTGTGATCCACCCTGAGCTTGCTTTGCTTTGCTTTGCTTGACTGGTCTTGTGACCCCTTGTTCTCCCCCACTTTGCCTATGGGGGTGTGTCAGATTATCATAGCTGATGCATGTTTGTAGGCTATAGTGGGGTAGCACATATGGGGTACAGCTTTCTAGGGTTGTATTTGTACCCAACTCTGACTTAGTCATTTTCATTCCTGTTCATTGATTCTCACAATAGGCGCCCCTAGAGATAGGCGCCCCTAGAGATAGGCGCCCCTAGAGATAGGCGCCCCTAGAGATAGGCGCCCCTAGAGATAGGCGCCCATAGAGATAGGCGCCCATAGAGATAGGCGCCCCTAGAGATAGGCGCCCCTAGAGAAAGGCGCCCCTAGAGAAAGGCGCCCCTAGAGATAGGCGCCCCTAGAGATAGGCGCCCATAGAGATAGGCGCCCATAGAGATAGGCGCCCCTAGAGAAAGGCGCCCCTAGAGATAGGCGCCCCTAGAGATAGGCGCCCCTAGAGATAGGCGCCCATAGAGATAGGCGCCCCTAGAGATAGGCGCCCCTAGAGATAGGCGCCCCTAGAGATAGGCGCCCCTAGAGATAGGCACCCATAGAGATAGGCGCCCCTAGAGATAGGCGCCCCTAGAGATAGGCGCCCCTAGAGATAGGCGCCCCTAGAGATAGGCGCCCCTAGAGATAGGCGCCCCTAGAGATAGGCGCCCATAGAGATAGGCGCCCCTAGAGATAGGCGCCCATAGAGATAGGCGCCCCTAGAGATTGGCGCCCATAGAGATAGGCGCCCCTAGAGATAGGCGCCCCTAGAGATAGGCGCCCCTAGAGATAGGCGCCCCTAGAGATAGGCGCCCCTAGAGATAGGCGCCCATAGAGATAGGCGCCCATAGAGATAGGCGCCCATAGAGATAGGCGCCCCTAGAGATAGGCGCCCCTAGAGATAGGCGCCCCTAGAGATAGGCGCCCATAGAGATAGGCACCCTAGAGATAGGCGCCCCAGGAGATAGGCGCCCCTAGAGATAGGCGCCCCTAGAGATAGGCGCCCCTAGAGATAGGCGCCCCTAGAGATAGGCGCCCCTAGATATAGGCGCCCATAGAGATAGGCGCCCACAGAGATAGGCGCCCCTAGAGATAGGCGCCCCTAGAGATTGGCGCCCCTAGAGATAGGCGCCCCTAGAGATAGGCGCCCCTAGAGATAGGCGCCCCTAGAGATAGGCGCCCATAGAGATAGGCGCCCCTAGAGATAGGCGCCCCTAGAGATAGGCGCCCCTAGAGATAGGCGCCCCTAGAGATAGGCGCCCATAGAGATAGGCGCCCTTAGAGATAGGCGCCCCTAGAGATAGGCGCCTATCTCTCTATTGGCGCCTATCTCTATGGGCGCCTATAGAGATAGGCGCCCCTAGAGATAGGCGCCCCTAGAGATAGGCGCCCATAGAGATAGGCGCCCATAGAGATAGGCGCCCCTAGAGATAGGCGCCCCTAGAGATAGGCGCCCCTAGAGAGATAGGCGCCCCTAGAGATAGGCGCCCCTAGAGATAGGCGCCCACAGAGATAGGCGCCCACAGAGATAGGCGCCCCTAGAGATAGGTGCCCACAGAGATAGGCGCCCCTAGAGATAGGCGCCCCTAGAGATAGGCGCCCATAGAGATAGGCGCCCATAGAGATAGGCGCCCCTAGAGATAGGCGCCCATAGAGATAGGCGCCCATAGAGATAGGCGCCCCTAGAGATAGGCGCCCATAGAGATAGGCGCCCCTAGAGATAGGCGCCCCTAGAGATAGGCGCCCCTAGAGATAGGCGCCCCTAGAGATAGGCGCCCCTAGAGATAGGCGCCCCTAGAGATAGGCGCCCCTAGAGAAAGGCGCCCCTAGAGATAGGCGCCCACAAGGATAGGTGCCCCTAGAGATAGGCGCCCCTAGAGATAGGCGCCCCTAGAGATAGGCGCCCCTAGAGATAGGCGCCCCTAGAGATAGGCGCCCCTAGAGATAGGCGCCCCTAGAGATAGGCGCCCCTAGAGATAGGCGCCCATAGAGATAGGCGCCCCTAGAGATAGGCGCCCCTAGAGATAGGCGCCCCTAGAGATAGGCGCCCATAGAGATAGGCGCCCACAGAGATAGGCGCCCATAGAGATAGGCGCCCACAGAGATAGGCGCCCCTAGAGATAGGCGCCCCTAGAGATAGGCGCCCCTAGAGAAAGGCGCCCCTAGAGATAGGCGCCCCTAGAGATAGGCGCCCCTAGAGATAGGCGCCCCTAGAGATAGGTGCCCCTAGAGATAGGCGCCCCTAGAGATAGGCGCCCCTAGAGATAGGCGCCCTTAGAGATAGGCGCCCCTAGAGATAGGCGCCCCTAGAGATAGGCGCCCCTAGAGAAAGGCGCCCCTAGAGATAGGCGCCCCTAGAGATAGACGCCCCTAGAGATTGGCGCCCCTAGAGATAGGCGCCCCTAGAGATAGGCGCCCCTAGAGATTGGCGCCCCTAGAGATAGGCGCCCCTAGAGATAGGCGCCCCTAGAGATAGGCGCCCCTAGAGATAGGCGCCCCTAGAGATTGGCGCCCCTAGAGATACGCGCCCCTAGAGATAGGCGCCCCTAGAGATAGGCGCCCCTAGAGATAGGCGCCCCTAGAGATAGGCGCCCCTAGAGATAGGCGCCCATAGAGATAGGCGCCAATAGAGAGATAGGTGCCCAAAGAGATAGGCGCCCCTAGAGATAGGCGCCCCAAGAGATAGGCGCCCCTAGAGATAGGCGCCCCTAGAGATAGGCGCCCCTAGAGATAGGCGCCCATAGAGATAGGCACCCCTAGAGATAGGCGCCCCTAGAGATAGGCGCCTATCTCTCTATTGGCGCCTATCTCTATGGGCGCCTATAGAGATAGGCGCCCCTAGAGATAGGTGCCCCTAGAGATAGGCGCCCATAGAGATAGGCGCCCCTAGAGATAGGCGCCCCTAGAGATAGGCGTCCCTAGAGATAGGCGCCCATAGAGATAGGCGCCCATAGAGATAGGTGCCCATAGAGATAGGCGCACCTAGAGATAGGCGCCCATAGAGATAGGCGCCCATAGAGATAGGCGCCCATAGAGATAGGCGCCCCTAGAGATAGGCGCCCCTAGAGATAGGCGCCCACAGAGATAGGCGCCCCTAGAGATAGGCGCCCCTAGAGATAGGCGCCCCTAGAGATAGGCGCCCCTAGAGATAGGCGCCCCTAGAGATAGGCGCCCATAGAGATAGGCGCCCCTAGAGATAGGCGCCCCTAGAGATAGGCGCCCCTAGAGATAGGCGCCCCTAGAGATAGGCGCCCCTAGAGATAGGCGCCCACAGAGATAGGCGCCCCTAGACATAGGCGCCCCTAGAGATAGGCGCCCACAGAGATAGGCGCCCCTAGAGATAGGCGCCCCTAGAGAAAGGCGCCCCTAGAGAAAGGCGCCCCTAGAGATAGGCGCCCCTAGAGATAGGCGCCCATAGAGATAGGCGCCCCTAGAGATAGGCGCCCCTAGAGATAGGCGCCCACAGAGATAGGCGCCCCTAGAGATAGGCGCCCCTAGAGATAGGCGCCCACACAGATAGGCGCCCCTAGAGATAGGTGCCCCTAGAGATAGGCGCCCCTAGAGATAGGCGCCCCTAGAGATAGGCGCCCCTAGAGATAGGCGCCCCTAGAGATAGGCGCCCCTAGAGATAGGCGCCCCTAGAGATAGGCGCCCCTAGAGATAGGCGCCCCTAGAGATAGGCGCCCCTAGAGATAGGCGCCCATAGAGATAGGCGCCCCTAGAGATTGGCGCCCCTAGAGATAGGCGCCCCTAGAGATAGGCGCCCCTAGAGATTGGCGCCCCTAGAGATAGGCGCCCCTAGAGATAGGCGCCCCTAGAGATAGGCGCCCCTAGAGATAGGCGCCCCTAGAGATTGGCGTCCCTAGAGATAGGCGCCCCTAGAGATAGGCGCCCCTAGAGATAGGCGCCCCTAGAGATAGGCGCCCCTAGAGATAGGCGCCCCTAGAGATAGGCGCCCATAGAGATAGGCGCCCCTAGAGATAGGCGCCCATAGAGATAGGCGCCCCTAGAGATAGGCGCCCCTAGAGATAGGCGCCCCTAGAGATAGGCGCCCCTAGAGATAGGCGCCCCTAGAGATAGGCGCCCATAGAGATAGGCGCCCCTAGAGATAGGCGCCCACAGAGATAGGCGCCTATCTCTCTATTGGCGCCTATCTCTATGGGCGCCTATAGAGATAGGCGCCCCTAGAGATAGGCGCCCCTAGAGATAGGCGCCCATAGAGATAGGCGCCCCTAGAGATAGGCGCCCCTAGAGATAGGCGCCCCTAGAGATAGGCGCCCATAGAGATAGGCGCCCATAGAGATAGGCGCCCATAGAGATAGGCGCACCTAGAGATAGGCGCCCATAGAGATAGGCGCCCATAGAGATAGGCGCCCATAGAGATAGGCGCCCCTAGAGATATGCGCCCATAGAGATAGGCGCCCATAGAGATAGGCGCCCATAGAGATAGGCGCCCATAGAGATAGGCGCCCATAGAGATAGGCGCCCATAGAGATAGGCGCCCATAGAGATAGGCGCCCATAGAGATAGGCGCCCCTAGAGATAGGCGCCCCTAGAGATAGGCGCCCTTAGAGATAGGCGCTCCTAGAGATAGGCGCCCCTAGAGACAGGCGCCCCTAGAGATAGGCGCCCCTAGAGATAGGCGCCCCTAGAGATAGGCGCCCCTAGAGATATGCGCCCATAGAGATAGGCGCCCATAGAGATAGGCGCCCCTAGAGATAGGCGCCCCTAGAGATAGGCGCCCCTAGAGAGATAGGCGCCCCTAGAGATAGGCGCCCCTAGAGATAGGCGCCCACAGAGATAGGCGCCCACAGAGATAGGCGCCCCTAGAGATAGGTGCCCACAGAGATAGGCGCCCCTAGAGATAGGCGCCCCTAGAGATAGGCGCCCATAGAGATAGGCGCCCATAGAGATAGGCGCCCCTAGAGATAGGCGCCCATAGAGATAGGCGCCCATAGAGATAGGCGCCCCTAGAGATAGGCGCCCATAGAGATAGGCGCCCCTAGAGATAGGCGCCCCTAGAGATAGGCGCCCCTAGAGATAGGCGCCCCTAGAGATAGGCGCCCCTAGAGATAGGCGCCCCTAGAGATAGGCGCCCCTAGAGAAAGGCGCCCCTAGAGATAGGCGCCCACAAGGATAGGTGCCCCTAGAGATAGGCGCCCCTAGAGATAGGCGCCCCTAGAGATAGGCGCCCCTAGAGATAGGCGCCCCTAGAGATAGGCGCCCCTAGAGATAGGCGCCCCTAGAGATAGGCGCCCCTAGAGATAGGCGCCCATAGAGATAGGCGCCCCTAGAGATAGGCGCCCCTAGAGATAGGCGCCCCTAGAGATAGGCGCCCATAGAGATAGGCGCCCACAGAGATAGGCGCCCATAGAGATAGGCGCCCACAGAGATAGGCGCCCCTAGAGATAGGCGCCCCTAGAGATAGGCGCCCCTAGAGAAAGGCGCCCCTAGAGATAGGCGCCCCTAGAGATAGGCGCCCCTAGAGATAGGCGCCCCTAGAGATAGGTGCCCCTAGAGATAGGCGCCCCTAGAGATAGGCGCCCCTAGAGATAGGCGCCCTTAGAGATAGGCGCCCCTAGAGATAGGCGCCCCTAGAGATAGGCGCCCCTAGAGAAAGGCGCCCCTAGAGATAGGCGCCCCTAGAGATAGACGCCCCTAGAGATTGGCGCCCCTAGAGATAGGCGCCCCTAGAGATAGGCGCCCCTAGAGATTGGCGCCCCTAGAGATAGGCGCCCCTAGAGATAGGCGCCCCTAGAGATAGGCGCCCCTAGAGATAGGCGCCCCTAGAGATTGGCGCCCCTAGAGATAGGCGCCCCTAGAGATAGGCGCCCCTAGAGATAGGCGCCCCTAGAGATAGGCGCCCCTAGAGATAGGCGCCCCTAGAGATAGGCGCCCATAGAGATAGGCGCCAATAGAGAGATAGGTGCCCAAAGAGATAGGCGCCCCTAGAGATAGGCGCCCCAAGAGATAGGCGCCCCTAGAGATAGGCGCCCCTAGAGATAGGCGCCCCTAGAGATAGGCGCCCATAGAGATAGGCACCCCTAGAGATAGGCGCCCCTAGAGATAGGCGCCTATCTCTCTATTGGCGCCTATCTCTATGGGCGCCTATAGAGATAGGCGCCCCTAGAGATAGGTGCCCCTAGAGATAGGCGCCCATAGAGATAGGCGCCCCTAGAGATAGGCGCCCCTAGAGATAGGCGTCCCTAGAGATAGGCGCCCATAGAGATAGGCGCCCATAGAGATAGGTGCCCATAGAGATAGGCGCACCTAGAGATAGGCGCCCATAGAGATAGGCGCCCATAGAGATAGGCGCCCATAGAGATAGGCGCCCCTAGAGATAGGCGCCCCTAGAGATAGGCGCCCACAGAGATAGGCGCCCCTAGAGATAGGCGCCCCTAGAGATAGGCGCCCCTAGAGATAGGCGCCCCTAGAGATAGGCGCCCCTAGAGATAGGCGCCCATAGAGATAGGCGCCCCTAGAGATAGGCGCCCCTAGAGATAGGCGCCCCTAGAGATAGGCGCCCCTAGAGATAGGCGCCCCTAGAGATAGGCGCCCACAGAGATAGGCGCCCCTAGACATAGGCGCCCCTAGAGATAGGCGCCCACAGAGATAGGCGCCCCTAGAGATAGGCGCCCCTAGAGAAAGGCGCCCCTAGAGAAAGGCGCCCCTAGAGATAGGCGCCCCTAGAGATAGGCGCCCATAGAGATAGGCGCCCCTAGAGATAGGCGCCCCTAGAGATAGGCGCCCACAGAGATAGGCGCCCCTAGAGATAGGCGCCCCTAGAGATAGGCGCCCACAGAGATAGGCGCCCCTAGAGATAGGTGCCCCTAGAGATAGGCGCCCCTAGAGATAGGCGCCCATAGAGATAGGCGCCCATAGAGATAGGCGCCCCTAGAGATAGGCGCCCCTAGAGATAGGCGCCCCTAGAGAGATAGGCGCCCCTAGAGATAGGCGCCCCTAGAGATAGGCGCCCACAGAGATAGGCGCCCACAGAGATAGGCGCCCCTAGAGATAGGTGCCCACAGAGATAGGCGCCCCTAGAGATAGGCGCCCCTAGAGATAGGCGCCCATAGAGATAGGCGCCCATAGAGATAGGCGCCCCTAGAGATAGGCGCCCATAGAGATAGGCGCCCATAGAGATAGGCGCCCCTAGAGATAGGCGCCCATAGAGATAGGCGCCCCTAGAGATAGGCGCCCCTAGAGATAGGCGCCCCTAGAGATAGGCGCCCCTAGAGATAGGCGCCCCTAGAGATAGGCGCCCCTAGAGATAGGCGCCCCTAGAGAAAGGCGCCCCTAGAGATAGGCGCCCACAAGGATAGGTGCCCCTAGAGATAGGCGCCCCTAGAGATAGGCGCCCCTAGAGATAGGCGCCCCTAGAGATAGGCGCCCCTAGAGATAGGCGCCCCTAGAGATAGGCGCCCCTAGAGATAGGCGCCCCTAGAGATAGGCGCCCATAGAGATAGGCGCCCCTAGAGATAGGCGCCCCTAGAGATAGGCGCCCCTAGAGATAGGCGCCCATAGAGATAGGCGCCCACAGAGATAGGCGCCCATAGAGATAGGCGCCCACAGAGATAGGCGCCCCTAGAGATAGGCGCCCCTAGAGATAGGCGCCCCTAGAGAAAGGCGCCCCTAGAGATAGGCGCCCCTAGAGATAGGCGCCCCTAGAGATAGGCGCCCCTAGAGATAGGTGCCCCTAGAGATAGGCGCCCCTAGAGATAGGCGCCCCTAGAGATAGGCGCCCTTAGAGATAGGCGCCCCTAGAGATAGGCGCCCCTAGAGATAGGCGCCCCTAGAGAAAGGCGCCCCTAGAGATAGGCGCCCCTAGAGATAGACGCCCCTAGAGATTGGCGCCCCTAGAGATAGGCGCCCCTAGAGATAGGCGCCCCTAGAGATTGGCGCCCCTAGAGATAGGCGCCCCTAGAGATAGGCGCCCCTAGAGATAGGCGCCCCTAGAGATAGGCGCCCCTAGAGATTGGCGCCCCTAGAGATAGGCGCCCCTAGAGATAGGCGCCCCTAGAGATAGGCGCCCCTAGAGATAGGCGCCCCTAGAGATAGGCGCCCCTAGAGATAGGCGCCCATAGAGATAGGCGCCAATAGAGAGATAGGTGCCCAAAGAGATAGGCGCCCCTAGAGATAGGCGCCCCAAGAGATCGGCGCCCCTAGAGATAGGCGCCCCTAGAGATAGGCGCCCCTAGAGATAGGCGCCCATAGAGATAGGCACCCCTAGAGATAGGCGCCCCTAGAGATAGGCGCCTATCTCTCTATTGGCGCCTATCTCTATGGGCGCCTATAGAGATAGGCGCCCCTAGAGATAGGTGCCCCTAGAGATAGGCGCCCATAGAGATAGGCGCCCCTAGAGATAGGCGCCCCTAGAGATAGGCGTCCCTAGAGATAGGCGCCCATAGAGATAGGCGCCCATAGAGATAGGTGCCCATAGAGATAGGCGCACCTAGAGATAGGCGCCCATAGAGATAGGCGCCCATAGAGATAGGCGCCCATAGAGATAGGCGCCCCTAGAGATAGGCGCCCCTAGAGATAGGCGCCCACAGAGATAGGCGCCCCTAGAGATAGGCGCCCCTAGAGATAGGCGCCCCTAGAGATAGGCGCCCCTAGAGATAGGCGCCCCTAGAGATAGGCGCCCATAGAGATAGGCGCCCCTAGAGATAGGCGCCCCTAGAGATAGGCGCCCCTAGAGATAGGCGCCCCTAGAGATAGGCGCCCCTAGAGATAGGCGCCCACAGAGATAGGCGCCCCTAGACATAGGCGCCCCTAGAGATAGGCGCCCACAGAGATAGGCGCCCCTAGAGATAGGCGCCCCTAGAGAAAGGCGCCCCTAGAGAAAGGCGCCCCTAGAGATAGGCGCCCCTAGAGATAGGCGCCCATAGAGATAGGCGCCCCTAGAGATAGGCGCCCCTAGAGATAGGCGCCCACAGAGATAGGCGCCCCTAGAGATAGGCGCCCCTAGAGATAGGCGCCCACAGAGATAGGCGCCCCTAGAGATAGGTGCCCCTAGAGATAGGCGCCCCTAGAGATAGGCGCCCCTAGAGATAGGCGCCCCTAGAGATAGGCGCCCCTAGAGATAGGCGCCCCTAGAGATAGGCGCCCCTAGAGATAGGCGCCCCTAGAGATAGGCGCCCCTAGAGATAGGCGCCCCTAGAGATAGGCGCCCATAGAGATAGGCGCCCCTAGAGATTGGCGCCCCTAGAGATAGGCGCCCCTAGAGATAGGCGCCCCTAGAGATTGGCGCCCCTAGAGATAGGCGCCCCTAGAGATAGGCGCCCCTAGAGATAGGCGCCCCTAGAGATAGGCGCCCCTAGAGATTGGCGTCCCTAGAGATAGGCGCCCCTAGAGATAGGCGCCCCTAGAGATAGGCGCCCCTAGAGATAGGCGCCCCTAGAGATAGGCGCCCCTAGAGATAGGCGCCCATAGAGATAGGCGCCCCTAGAGATAGGCGCCCATAGAGATAGGCGCCCCTAGAGATAGGCGCCCCTAGAGATAGGCGCCCCTAGAGATAGGCGCCCCTAGAGATAGGCGCCCCTAGAGATAGGCGCCCATAGAGATAGGCGCCCCTAGAGATAGGCGCCCACAGAGATAGGCGCCTATCTCTCTATTGGCGCCTATCTCTATGGGCGCCTATAGAGATAGGCGCCCCTAGAGATAGGCGCCCCTAGAGATAGGCGCCCATAGAGATAGGCGCCCCTAGAGATAGGCGCCCCTAGAGATAGGCGCCCCTAGAGATAGGCGCCCATAGAGATAGGCGCCCATAGAGATAGGCGCCCATAGAGATAGGCGCACCTAGAGATAGGCGCCCATAGAGATAGGCGCCCATAGAGATAGGCGCCCATAGAGATAGGCGCCCCTAGAGATATGCGCCCATAGAGATAGGCGCCCATAGAGATAGGCGCCCATAGAGATAGGCGCCCATAGAGATAGGCGCCCATAGAGATAGGCGCCCATAGAGATAGGCGCCCATAGAGATAGGCGCCCATAGAGATAGGCGCCCCTAGAGATAGGCGCCCCTAGAGATAGGCGCCCTTAGAGATAGGCGCTCCTAGAGATAGGCGCCCCTAGAGACAGGCGCCCCTAGAGATAGGCGCCCCTAGAGATAGGCGCCCCTAGAGATAGGCGCCCCTAGAGATAGGCGCCCATAGAGATAGGCGCCCACAGAGATAGGCGCCTATCTCTCTATTGGCGCCTATCTCTATGGGCGCCTATAGAGATAGGCGCCCCTAGAGATAGGCGCCCCTAGAGATAGGCGCCCCTAGAGATAGGCGCCCATAGAGATAGGCGCCCCAAGAGATAGGCGCCCTTAGAGATAGGCGCCCATAGAGATAGGCGCCCCTAGAGATGGGCGCCCCTAGAGATAGGCGCCCCTAGAGATAGGCGCCCCTAGAGATAGGCGCCCCTAGAGATAGGCGCCCCTAGAGATAGGCGCCCCTAGCGATAGGCGCCCATAGAGATAGGCGCTCCTAGAGATAGGCGCCTATCTCTATGGGCGCCTATCTCTAGGGGCGCCTATCTCTAGGGGCGCCTATCTCTATGGGCGCCTATCTCTCTAGGGGCGCCTATCTCTAGGGGCGCCTATCTCTAGGGGCGCCTATCTCTAGGGGCGCCTATCTCTAGGGGCGCCTATCTCTAGGGGCACCCCTAGAGATAGGCGCCTATCTCTAGGGGCGCCCCTAGAGATAGGCGCCCACAGAGATAGGCGCCCCTAGAGATAGGCGCCCCTAGAGATAGGCGCCCCTAGAGATAGGCGCCCACAGAGATAGGCGCCCCTAGAGATAGGCGCCCCTAGAGATAGGCGCCCCTAGAGATAGGCGCCCCTAGAGATAGGCGCCCCTAGAGAAAGGCGCCCCTAGAGATAGGCGCCCCTAGAGATAGGCGCCCCTATAGATAGGCGCCCCTAGAGATAGGCGCCCCTAGAGATAGGCGCCCCTAGAGATAGGCGCCCGTAGAGATAGGCGCCCATAGAGAAAGGCGCCCACAGAGATAGGCGCCCCTAGCGATAGGCGCCCCTAGAGATAGGCGCCCCTAGAGATAGGCGCCCATAGAGATAGGCGCCCATAGAGATAGGCGCCCCTAGAGATAGGCGCCCATAGAGATAGGCGCCCCTAGAGATAGGCGCCCCTAGAGATAGGCGCCCCTAGAGATAGGCGCCCCTAGAGATAGGCGCCCCTAGAGATAGGCGCCCCTAGAGATAGGCGCCCATAGAGATAGGCGCCCCTACAGATAGGCGCCCCTAGAGATAGGCGCCCCTAGAGATAGGCGCCCCTAGAGATAGGCGCCCCTAGAGATAGGCGCCCCTAGAGATAGGCGCCCATAGAGATAGGCGCTCCTAGAGATAGGCGCCTATCTCTATGGGCGCCTATCTCTAGGGGCGCCTATCTCTAGGGGCGCCTATCTCTCTATTGGCGCCTATCTCTCTAGGGGCGCCTATCTCTAGGGGCGCCTATCTCTAGGGGCGCCTATCTCTAGGGGCGCCTATCTCTAGGGGCGCCTATCTCTAGGGGCACCCCTAGAGATAGGCGCCTATCTCTAGGGGCGCCCCTAGAGATAGGCGCCCACAGAGATAGGCGCCCCTAGAGATAGGCGCCCCTAGAGATAGGCGCCCCTAGAGATAGGCGCCCACAGAGATAGGCGCCCCTAGAGATAGGCGCCCCTAGAGATAGGCGCCCCTAGAGATGGGCGCCCCTAGAGATAGGCGCCCCTAGAGATAGGCGCCCCTAGAGATAGGCGCCCCTAGAGATAGGCGCCCCTATAGATAGGCGCCCCTAGAGATAGGCGCCCCTAGAGATAGGCGCCCCTAGAGATAGGCGCCCATAGAGATAGGCGCCCCTAGAGATAGGCGCCCCTAGAGACAGGCGCCCCTAGAGATAGGCGCCCCTAGAGATAGGCGCCCCTAGAGATAGGCGCCCCTAGAGATAGGCGCCCATAGAGATAGGCGCCCATAGAGATAGGCGCCCATAGAGAGAGGCGCCCCTAGAGATAGGCGCCCTTAGAGATACGCGCCCATAGAGATAGGCGCCGCTAGAGATGGGCGCCCATAGAGATAGGCGCCCATAGAGATAGGCGCCCATAGAGATAGGCCCCCATAGAGATAGGCGCCAATAGAGATAGGCGCCCATAGAGATAGGCGCCCATAGAGATAGGCGCCCATAGAGATAGGCGCCCATAGAGATAGGCGCCCATAGAGATAGGCGCCCATAGAGATAGGCGCCCATAGAGATAGGCGCCCATAGAGATAGGCGCCCCTAGAGATAGGCGCCCATAGAGATAGGCGCCCATAGAGATAGGCGCCCATAGAGAGAGGCGCCCCTAGAGATAGGCGCCCTTAGAGATAGGCGCCCATAGAGATAGGCGCCCCTAGAGATGGGCGCCCATAGAGATAGGCGCCCATAGAGATAGGCGCCCATAGAGATAGGCCCCCATAGAGATAGGCGCCCATAGAGATAGGCGCCCATAGAGATAGGCGCCCATAGAGATAGGCGCCCATAGAGATAGGCGCCCATAGAGATAGGCGCCCATAGAGATAGGCGCCCATAGAGATAGGCGCCCCTAGAGATAGGCGCCCCTAGAGATAGGCGCCCTTAGAGATAGGCGCTCCTAGAGATAGGCGCCCCTAGAGATAGGCGCCCCTAGAGATAGGCGCCCCTAGAGATAGGCGCCCATAGAGATAGGCGCCCCTAGAGATAGGCGCCCATAGAGATAGGCGCCCCAAGAGATAGGCGCCCTTAGAGATAGGCGCCCATAGAGATAGGCGCCCCTAGAGATGGGCGCCCATAGAGATAGGCGCCCATAGAGATAGGCGCCCATAGAGATAGGTGCCCCTAGAGATAGGCGCCCATAGAGATAGGCGCCCATAGAGATAGGCGCCCATAGAGATAGGCGCCCATAGAGATAGGTGCCCATAGAGATAGGCGCCCATAGAGATAGGCGCCCATAGAGATAGGCGCCCATAGAGATAGGCGCCCATAGAGATAGGCGCCCATAGAGATAGGCGCCCATAGAGATAGGCGCCCCTAGAGATAGGCGCCCCTAGAGATAGGCGCCCTTAGAGATAGGCGCTCCTAGAGATAGGCGCCCCTAGAGACAGGCGCCCCTAGAGATAGGCGCCCCTAGAGATAGGCGCCCCTAGAGATAGGCGCCCCTAGAGATAGGCGCCCATAGAGATAGGCGCCCATAGAGATAGGCGCCCATAGAGAGAGGCGCCCTTAGAGATAGGCGCCCTTAGAGATAGGCGCCCATAGAGATAGGCGCCCCTAGAGATGGGCGCCCATAGAGATAGGCGCCCATAGAGATAGGCGCCCCTAGAGATGGGCGCCCATAGAGATAGGCGCCCCTAGAGATAGGCGCCCATAGAGATAGGCGCCCATAGAGATAGGCGCCCATAGAGATAGGCGCCCATAGAGATAGGCGCCCATAGAGATAGGCGCCCATAGAGATAGGCGCCCCTAGAGATAGGCGCCCCTAGAGATAGGCGCCCACAGAGATAGGCGCCTCTAGAGATAGGCGCCCCTAGAGATAGGCGCCCCTAGAGATAGGCGCCCCTAGAGATAGGCGCCCCTAGAGTTAGGCGCCCCTAGAGATAGGCACCCCTAGAGATGGGCGCCCATAGAGATAGGTGCCCCTAGAGATAGGCGCCCATAGAGATAGGCGCCCATAGAGATAGGCGCCCATAGAGATAGGCCCCCATAGAGATAGGCGCCCATAGAGATAGGCGCCCATAGAGATAGGCGCCCATAGAGATAGGCGCCCATAGAGATAGGCGCCCATAGAGATAGGCGCCCATAGAGATAGGCGCCCATAGAGATAGGCGCCCCTAGAGATAGGCGCCCCTAGAGATAGGCGCCCACAGAGATAGGCGCCTCTAGAGATAGGCGCCCCTAGAGATAGGCGCCCCTAGAGATAGGCGCCCCTAGAGATAGGCGCCCCTAGAGATAGGCGCCCATAGAGATAGGCGCCCCTAGAGATAGGCGCCCCTAGAGATAGGCGCCCCTAGAGATAGGCGCCCCTAGAGATAGGCGCCCCTAGAGATAGGCGCCCCTAGAGATAGGCGCCCATAGAGATAGGCTCCCCTAGAGATAGGCGCCCCTAGAGATAGGCGCCCCTAGAGATAGGCGCCCCTAGAGATAGGCGCCCCTAGAGATAGGCGCCCCTAGAGATAGGCGCCCATAGAGATAGGCGCTCCTAGAGATAGGCGCCTATCTCTATGGGCGCCTATCTCTAGGGGCGCCTATCTCTAGGGGCGCCTATCTCTCTATTGGCGCCTATCTCTCTAGGGGCGCCTATCTCTAGGGGCGCCTATCTCTAGGGGCGCCTATCTCTAGGGGCGCCTATCTCTAGGGGCGCCTATCTCTAGGGGCACCCCTAGAGATAGGCGCCTATCTCTAGGGGCGCCCCTAGAGATAGGCGCCCACAGAGATAGGCGCCCCTAGAGATAGGCGCCCCTAGAGATAGGCGCCCCTAGAGATAGGCGCCCACAGAGATAGGCGCCCCTAGAGATAGGCGCCCCTAGAGATAGGCGCCCCTAGAGATAGGCGCCCCTAGAGATAGGCGCCCCTAGAGATAGGCGCCCCTAGAGATAGGCGCCCCTAGAGATAGGCGCCCCTATAGATAGGCGCCCCTAGAGATAGGCGCCCCTAGAGATAGGCGCCCCTAGAGATAGGCGCCCATAGAGATAGGCGCCCCTAGAGATAGGCGCCCCTAGAGACAGGCGCCCCTAGAGATAGGCGCCCCTAGAGATAGGCGCCCCTAGAGATAGGCGCCCCTAGAGATAGGCGCCCATAGAGATAGGCGCCCATAGAGATAGGCGCCCATAGAGAGAGGCGCCCCTAGAGATAGGCGCCCTTAGAGATAGGCGCCCATAGAGATAGGCGCCCCTAGAGATGGGCGCCCATAGAGATAGGCGCCCATAGAGATAGGCGCCCATAGAGATAGGCCCCCATAGAGATAGGCGCCCATAGAGATAGGCGCCCATAGAGATAGGCGCCCATAGAGATAGGCGCCCATAGAGATAGGCGCCCATAGAGATAGGCGCCCATAGAGATAGGCGCCCATAGAGATAGGCGCCCATAGAGATAGGCGCCCATAGAGATAGGCGCCCCTAGAGATAGGCGCCCATAGAGATAGGCGCCCATAGAGATAGGCGCCCATAGAGAGAGGCGCCCCTAGAGATAGGCGCCCTTAGAGATAGGCGCCCATAGAGATAGGCGCCCCTAGAGATGGGCGCCCATAGAGATAGGCGCCCATAGAGATAGGCGCCCATAGAGATAGGCCCCCATAGAGATAGGCGCCCATAGAGATAGGCGCCCATAGAGATAGGCGCCCATAGAGATAGGCGCCCATAGAGATAGGCGCCCATAGAGATAGGCGCCCATAGAGATAGGCGCCCATAGAGATAGGCGCCCATAGAGATAGGCGCCCATAGAGATAGGCGCCCATAGAGATAGGCGCCCCTAGAGATAGGCGCCCATAGAGATAGGCGCCCATAGAGATAGGCGCCCATAGAGAGAGGCGCCCCTAGAGATAGGCGCCCTTAGAGATAGGCGCCCATAGAGATAGGCGCCCCTAGAGATGGGCGCCCATAGAGATAGGCGCCCATAGAGATAGGCGCCCATAGAGATAGGCCCCCATAGAGATAGGCGCCCATAGAGATAGGCGCCCATAGAGATAGGCGCCCATAGAGATAGGCGCCCATAGAGATAGGCGCCCATAGAGATAGGCGCCCATAGAGATAGGCGCCCATAGAGATAGGCGCCCCTAGAGATAGGCGCCCCTAGAGATAGGCGCCCTTAGAGATAGGCGCTCCTAGAGATAGGCGCCCCTAGAGATAGGCGCCCCTAGAGATAGGCGCCCCTAGAGATAGGCGCCCATAGAGATAGGCGCCCCTAGAGATAGGCGCCCATAGAGATAGGCGCCCCAAGAGATAGGCGCCCTTAGAGATAGGCGCCCATAGAGATAGGCGCCCCTAGAGATGGGCGCCCATAGAGATAGGCGCCCATAGAGATAGGCGCCCATAGAGATAGGTGCCCCTAGAGATAGGCGCCCATAGAGATAGGCGCCCATAGAGATAGGCGCCCATAGAGATAGGCGCCCATAGAGATAGGCGCCCATAGAGATAGGCGCCCATAGAGATAGGCGCCCATAGAGATAGGCGCCCATAGAGATAGGCGCCCATAGAGATAGGCGCCCATAGAGATAGGCGCCCATAGAGATAGGCGCCCCTAGAGATAGGCGCCCCTAGAGATAGGCGCCCTTAGAGATAGGCGCTCCTAGAGATAGGCGCCCCTAGAGACAGGCGCCCCTAGAGATAGGCGCCCCTAGAGATAGGCGCCCCTAGAGATAGGCGCCCCTAGAGATAGGCGCCCATAGAGATAGGCGCCCATAGAGATAGGCGCCCATAGAGAGAGGCGCCCCTAGAGATAGGCGCCCTTAGAGATAGGCGCCCATAGAGATAGGCGCCCCTAGAGATGGGCGCCCATAGAGATAGGCGCCCATAGAGATAGGCGCCCCTAGAGATGGGCGCCCATAGAGATAGGCGCCCCTAGAGATAGGCGCCCATAGAGATAGGCGCCCATAGAGATAGGCGCCCATAGAGATAGGCGCCCATAGAGATAGGCGCCCATAGAGATAGGAGCCCATAGAGATAGGCGCCCCTAGAGATAGGCGCCCCTAGAGATAGGCGCCCACAGAGATAGGCGCCTCTAGAGATAGGCGCCCCTAGAGATAGGCGCCCCTAGAGATAGGCGCCCCTAGAGATAGGCGCCCCTAGAGATAGGCGCCCCTAGAGATAGGCACCCCTAGAGATGGGCGCCCATAGAGATAGGTGCCCCTAGAGATAGGCGCCCATAGAGATAGGCGCCCATAGAGATAGGCGCCCATAGAGATAGGCCCCCATAGAGATAGGCGCCCATAGAGATAGGCGCCCATAGAGATAGGCGCCCATAGAGATAGGCGCCCATAGAGATAGGCGCCCATAGAGATAGGCGCCCATAGAGATAGGCGCCCATAGAGATAGGCGCCCCTAGAGATAGGCGCCCCTAGAGATAGGCGCCCTTAGAGATAGGCGCTCCTAGAGATAGGCGCCCCTAGAGACAGGCGCCCCTAGAGATAGGCGCCCCTAGAGATAGGCGCCCCTAGAGATAGGCGCCCCTAGAGATAGGCGCCCATAGAGATAGGCGCCCCTAGAGATAGGCGCCCATAGAGATAGGCGCCCCAAGAGATAGGCGCCCTTAGAGATAGGCGCCCATAGAGATAGGCGCCCCTAGAGATGGGCGCCCATAGAGATAGGCGCCCATAGAGATAGGCGCCCATAGAGATAGGTGCCCCTAGAGATAGGCGCCCATAGAGATAGGCGCCCATAGAGATAGGCGCCCATAGAGAAAGGCGCCCATAGAGATAGGCCCCCATAGAGATAGGCGCCCATAGAGATAGGCGCCCATAGAGATAGGCGCCCATAGAGATAGGCGCCCATAGAGATAGGCGCCCATAGAGATAGGCGCCCATAGAGATAGGCGCCCATAGAGATAGGCGCCCCTAGAGATAGGCGCCCCTAGAGATAGGCGCCCTTAGAGATAGGCGCTCCTAGAGATAGGCGCCCCTAGAGACAGGCGCCCCTAGAGATAGGCGCCCCTAGAGATAGGCGCCCCTAGAGATAGGCGCCCCTAGAGATAGGCGCCCATAGAGATAGGCGCCCCTAGAGATAGGCGCCCATAGAGATAGGCGCCCCAAGAGATAGGCGCCCTTAGAGATAGGCGCCCATAGAGATAGGCGCCCCTAGAGATGGGCGCCCATAGAGATAGGCGCCCATAGAGATAGGCGCCCATAGAGATAGGTGCCCCTAGAGATAGGCGCCCATAGAGATAGGCGCCCATAGAGATAGGCGCCCATAGAGATAGGCGCCCATAGAGATAGGCGCCCATAGAGATAGGCGCCCATAGAGATAGGCGCCCATAGAGATAGGCGCCCATAGAGATAGGCGCCCATAGAGATAGGCGCCCATAGAGATAGGCGCCCCTAGAGATAGGCGCCCCTAGAGATAGGCGCCCTTAGAGATAGGCGCTCCTAGAGATAGGCGCCCCTAGAGACAGGCGCCCCTAGAGATAGGCGCCCCTAGAGATAGGCGCCCCTAGAGATAGGCGCCCCTAGAGATAGGCGCCCATAGAGATAGGCGCCCATAGAGATAGGCGCCCATAGAGAGAGGCGCCCCTAGAGATAGGCGCCCTTAGAGATAGGCGCCCATAGAGATAGGCGCCCCTAGAGATGGGCGCCCATAGAGATAGGCGCCCATAGAGATAGGCGCCCCTAGAGATGGGCGCCCATAGAGATAGGCGCCCCTAGAGATAGGCGCCCATAGAGATAGGCGCCCATAGAGATAGGCGCCCATAGAGATAGGCGCCCATAGAGATAGGCGCCCATAGAGATAGGCACCCATAGAGATAGGCGCCCCTAGAGATAGGCGCCCCTAGAGATAGGCGCCCACAGAGATAGGCGCCTCTAGAGATAGGCGCCCCTAGAGATAGGCGCCCCTAGAGATAGGCGCCCCTAGAGATAGGCGCCCCTAGAGATAGGCGCCCCTAGAGATAGGCGCCCCTAGAGATGGGCGCCCATAGAGATAGGTGCCCCTAGAGATAGGCGCCCATAGAGATAGGCGCCCATAGAGATAGGCGCCCATAGAGATAGGCCCCCATAGAGATAGGCGCCCATAGAGATAGGCGCCCATAGAGATAGGCGCCCATAGAGATAGGCGCCCATAGAGATAGGCGCCCATAGAG